TCTCTCATCCAAAAGGGTGATGAATGCTAAAATCACCAGAATTAATTGTGTAGAAGGCTTTAAATAATCCTTAAAATGTGAACAATTATTTTTAAGTGCTTTCAACTTGAACAGCACTTGGAATGAAAAGCAAAGGCACAATGGTCAATAACAAATATGTAAGAATGTTTCAAACCTTGTTTTCTCTATTGTTCATAACATTGATTTCAGTTCACAGTTGTGCTGTGGCAAAAGTTGGAGATGGCAGACTTTTTTCCTCTTGATTTTATGGATTGAAAAAAATAATAATTGAGGAGGATAATACCAGTTGTGGAAATCCCGCTGTGGGTTACATCTGAGGAACCTATTTTCCTCTGGTGGTTTCATCTTTCTAATTTGAGGAAGTTTTGCCTCTATAATTTGTGGCTGGGAAAACTATATTAATTTTATTGTAAAAGTCATAGCAGAGAATTTTAAATTCTTAGATATCTACTTAAAACTACACATTTAAAACAACTTGAAATGATCATATTGGGGAGGTTTGGGGGTAGGGAATAGTCTTTTCTTAATCAAAGTAGCAAACATCTGTGTTCTTTCTTGCCGGTCTTTTGATTAGCATGGCCTCATCCATCACTGGTCTTTGATATGAACACCAAGAAGTCATGTCCTTTTGTTTTAAATGATAAATATGCCTTTGTCATGAATACTCATAGGCAACCCAGGATTTACATCTGAATTGTCAAAGTGTAACTGCTCAGCTACTGTGATGAGTGACATTATTAGTGAAATAAAGAAGTTTTTAATTTGTCATGGATAGGCCTTAGATGGTGACATTACAAGACTACATGGGTTGTGATGCTAGAAAAAGTTGTCCTTCCCCCACTATTTTTCTAAGATTTGTCATTTATCAACAAAAGGCAATTTGCCGCAGGAGGTATTCTGTGAACATTTTACTTTAGTGCCGAGAGTCCATCTCTTTGGATTTTATTATGTAGGCTTGATGGCTCCTAGTTCTTATCAAAACTGATGCTATTTGAAGTAGCAGGCTTCTGGTGGTCCAACAACCAGCATCAAGATTTATTCTGTCTGGCTATTAATGTCAATGACAGTGTTTTCTTAAACTTCAACTTTATTTCAAGGCCTGGGTCAGTTTTATTTTCTACCTGTTTCTTTGATGTCTTTGTCCTCACAAATCTCTTGAACATCTGCTCAAATGTATCTATGAATATGCTATTTACATGAATGCATTAGCCTACATATATCTACCTGTACAATTTTGTGTTAATCATCAAAGCCCTCAAACTGTTATATTTGACTTTTCCATGAAGAAATCAGGACCTTTAAAATTAAAACTTTGTGAAGTTTTGATCTTGTAAAGTCTGGATCTTGTCTAATTTGCAATGTGAAAGAAGGTTTTAGCTTATATATACTCTATTTCTACACTATTGATAGGCAAGTATTTTGATTATATTAAAGTTTTATCTTATAATTATTTAGAATGTTTTGTGTTGGTAATAAGTAGTTCATTCCAACTTTATAATAAAGACATTCTATGAAGGAAGATTTAGTATTTTAGTAACTTGACCAGAACTTGCATTACCTTTCACATGCTTTGTCTTTATAATCTCAACACAACAGTTTTAAAAGTATGCAGAATAAGAATTTTTATTTTCTAGTTTTGAAATGGATTGCTTGATTGAATTAGCTAAAATAACCTTTAACTTAGAATGTTTAGAATTTATAGGAAAGCTAAGCAATATATTTTAGTTTGATTTAACAACTTTCCATAAAATTCACTAAAATGGTTTTATCAGTATTATGTTTTACTGGGGTTCGTAGTCCTCACCCCACATGACGTATTGATCTTGGATTGCCTTTGCTTTGATTGCTCAAAACTGAAGTTTAGCAGTCATTTTTTGCAAAGTATTTCTTGATTGCCAAAGAAAATAATTTTAAGCTATATATATCTTTACATAAACACACACACACACACACACACAAAGAAAAAAAGTTTATTAGAAGTTAGTCCTTGTCATCCCAGGATTCTTTTTCTAATTTTTTTCTTAGTGTTTCCTAGATCACTTGTTTCATGAGAAATGAAGTCTTGTTCATGTTTGTTTACCAACAGAAAATAATCGCTGAGCAATTCTTACAGCCCAATCCCTTATATTAATTGAGATTTTTGTACTGTAATGTAAATGTCTGAGTTTTTGAGACCCCAAGGCTTTTGCCCAACTTGAAGACAATGATGCCAGTGAGCTTCTGTCCAGAGTTAATCAGCTGCAGAATTTGTAAACTGCACATGTGTCAAAGTTGAAAATGTTAGCACTCTAATAGAAGCTTGAAAAGGTTAGATCTGATAAAAGCCGTCAGCAGTTAAAGAAAGTGATTTATGGGAATGTAATGACACAAAATGCCTCATTTATCACTCATATATAGATAGGTTAAGGTTCCTGTGTCATACTTTTAAAAACTTGACCACTTCACATTGTCAAAATAGGTACTTAATTGCCCTTCATCTTTTTCATTTTGAATTTATTTCATTTGAGTTTGGTAATTTTATCTATGATTGCTTTGCTGTCATTCATTTCATATGGTTCCATTTAAAGACATTTATATTTTAGATTTTTAAAAATGGTACATCACTGATCTTTTTGAAGTTTTATTAGCTAAAGCTGTTTTGAAGAAAGGCTAAGCCAATCTAATATATGTTAATTTACATATTTAGCTGGATACCACATTTAAAAGTTTCATTTTGCTTCTAATATTTTATAATTTTTATCGGCACTTTATAATCCTCTAAATTTTCTAATTGTCTCTCCTTAAAAAAATTGTACATGATATTTTAAGACACTGCCAATAATTGGTTTATAGTCCTAAGTAACTCAACTTAATATTTAAGCTTCTCACAAATTAAATTAATAAAAACATGCTTGTCTGGTTAAACAATTCTTTAAAAAAAGAAAATAAAAATAAAAGTTAAGAGACATACTTAATTGTATTTCTTTCCCAAAAATAACTAAAAGCAATTATGTCTTCATATGTTCTACAAAGGGAATTTATAAACATGGAGTTAGTAAACATTAATTTGCTTATTTGGTGTCATTTGATTTATGAATAAATAAGCTTAACCCTATTAAATAGTATAGTATATCAAAGATATTAATATTATAAAACAAATTTTATGAATGATGATTATGGCTTTTTACTCTTTTAATATGAAAGAATTGTTTAAAAGCTTCCTAAAAATTATTCAGATCATTAAATAAATAGAAGTGTCTCAAGGTTTCCCTTTGCCCCTGGATAGCCAAAGAATAAATTTGAGGTTTGGAAGTTTTCACACTTTGTCATCCCAATGTTCCATTTTCCTGAGCAGTGACATTCCAAGTCAAATTGAAAAAGAAGGCCAAACAGTTTCTTCAACAAGACAAGGGCATGAAAATTAACCAAGAAAGACAGGAACTGGACTAGGAAAGAAACCTGAGACGTCATAAGTAAATGAAGTTGAACTTGCTGCAGTTTGAGACCATCCAGGGGACTGCAGAAATATCTTTATGAGATAGTCATTGAAAGTTAAATATGTTTGGTATGAATTCTTACAACCTAGAAATTATGGTTAATTTTGTTAGACATGGTAGTGCCATTGTGGCATTATGTAAGAAATTATTTATGAAATTATGTTATAAGAAAATGTCCTTTTTGGGGCTGGGGTTGTGGCTCAGAGGTAGAGCACTTGCCTACCATGTGTGAGGCACTGGGTTCAATCCTCAGCACCACATAAAAATAAAGATATTGTGTCCACCTATAGCTAAGAAATAAATATTAAAAATAAGAAGCCCTCTTTTTTTTAAAGCATACATTAAAAAATATGTAGAGAGAGTGACTTGGTGCCTGGGACTTCCTTTAAATATTCCAGCAAAAGGGTTATTAAGTTGAGAGAGAGATTGATGGATTGATGTAAAGGGTAATATACAGTTTTAAAGACAGACATGGAAAGGTAGCTACCTTGTATGCATTTAAAATTGTTTTGCAAAAAAATTAGGGGAATTATTACATCAGTCATGTTCAGAAGTATTATTTTTAATATAAAATTATAATATCCTATATTTTCTAATATACTTCCAATACCTGTTTTAAAATCATAAGGTATAATCTAAAAATGTTTTTTCAGTTCTCCGAATTTTATCCCAAAAGTTACCTAAGTCCAAGTGCAGTGTGTTAACCCAAAAGCAAACCAATATCTTTTAATGTAGAAAAAGGACTAAGAAATCTGAACATTTCTTCAGAATATGACAGAAACCTATTAACTAGTTTTTGTGTGCCCTGAAAAGGGTATAATTCTAAATAGCAGCACAAATCTTTTTGGTTGTTACTTACTTAAATGATTGAAAATGTGTAATTTTAGAATTTTAAAGCATTTTTTATATTGTAAGCTTTCCTTTTTATCATTATTTACAAAAGCATTTTCTTAAGTTGCAGATATAGTTTCCCAACTTAAAGAGTATTAAACTAAATGTATTTCTTTCTAGATGCATTTTGTTCAGAATAGATACATTTAAATTAAAATCTTAACTTTTATGTGATTTTTATAATCTTCATTTGTCTCTTAAAGCATATATACAGTATTTATATATGTAAGTAATGACAACCAAAAAAAAAACTCTTGAAAATCTCAGACTCTCAAAATACATGATTAGGAGAAAATGTCTTAATATGAATTTATTATTTTCTAAATTTATATTAAAGGATAGTTAACCAAATGTGTTTTTTTTTTAATTTTTGGACATTATTTACATATATGAAGGTAACACAAGAAGACAAATTTCAGCTTAATTTTCTACACATTAATCTTTTTATCCTTGAGAGAGTATTTTTATATGTTTCAAATCCATGTTTAGAAAAAAATGATACATTATGTGTTTATATAACCACTGGAATCAAAATCATCTCAAATCTATGAATCTTAATAATTTTCTTTTGTAACAACTATGAGGAAATATATTAAAATGCCTTAATTATAGGGCAAGAAAAAGAAGAAACAGTCTTTTTGCATATGATCTTTCAATTGTTCACCAAAGGATAAAGAAAGCATTCAAGCGTGGTTTCAAGAACTGTCAGCACTAAGAAAACGCAAGGTACTTTGTAGATCCTTAAAGACCTTTCTGGGAAACAGATTTAATTAAAAAGTAAAGTAGACTTTTCATTTCAAAGAAATCTTCAAAATGTTATAGAATCTCATAATGTTAATATATTAATAAACGCATTGTCTTCTTATCCCAGATGAGAAAAAGTCATCTGTGAAGCTATTATCTTTGGTTCACACAACAGCAGATTTTATAAATATTTCTCTTTAGGTTTAAGCATTAGAATTAGAATGCATTGAAATACAATTTTAAAAGATTTTCTCTTTCTGATTCATACATGTGGTTTCAATTCACCTGCAAAGAGGAAACATCTTTAGCAGTACTCCCACTACTAAAAGTAGTCACTTTTACCCAGATTGTTTTCAAAATGATCAGAAAAATCAATTGTCTCATCTAACACATTCGTATATACCTTGTTCCCTATTAGAAAAACTAATGCTGCATAGTGGGTATAAGAATCCAAGAGGTACTTTTTTCCTCCTTCAGTAACTTTTAAGTTCCACATTATTTTTTTTTTTTTACTAAGTTCAGTCCAAAAGCCTAATTAACAGGACATCTCCAAGTTGCTGTAGAGTGGAAAAAGTTGACATAACCACATGATAAGTAGCTATTTATGAATACCCTTAAGCGTGTTCTTAGAGTTTTTGATTGTACATTGTCACTTCAGCCCGCCCTGTCTGTTGAGGTTTGGGGAGCCAGTCTGCTCTTACCAAGCATTCATACAGCAGTGTTTAAGCACCAAATATATTCATGTTTAAATTGCCTTCATTTTAGGACTTTTTTTCAAAGATGAATCTGAGAGCTGTGTTTTTAAGTAATTACTTCTTCAATAAAAAATTGTTTTTGGACCAATGTTGCTCTTTTTTCATCTACTCAGTGATAAATATATTCAGTATTCAACATTCATAAACAAGAAAGACAGAGAAAGAGAAAGAGAAAGGTAGATCGATTAATTTGACATTGTAATGAAAGGCCTTACTAAACTCCCCAGTGCTCAGACTTCTATTTAAATGACACTGTGGAGCAACAGATACATAATACAGGGATTTGTTTCCAGTTTAGTCTGCACAGAGATGTGGCCACTAAAAGTGTCTGCTCTGTTTTCATTGGCTTGAGTTTCTTGGTTTAAATTTTTTTTCAAAGCATAATAATATTTAAAAATAAGCATACTACTTTATTTTTAAAGATTAATGCAGTAGTTGGAGTAATACTTGAAGATGTTACATTTTGACTGTAGGAAAAATAATGCCTGTGTGTGATAATGTGTGTATGATTTGCATGTGTGTTGTATAATTCACAATATACATATGCATTTATCATGTTATTCTTTTCAGTATGATTAATTATGTCAGTTTATTGCATATGTCTGCATGTACTTCATCTCTTAATTAAAGCATTAATCATTAAAATTACCAAAGATACATAGTTGTACTCTATTTTTAAAATTTAACGTTGATCTGTGCATAGTAATACACATATTATTTCTAATGGGTAGACTATACAAAACATTGTAAGCAAGGATTTCCATATTATACTATCATATCAATTATTTTAAATATGTTTATCTTAACATATACTTAGAACACACTTTTTAACCATTTTAAATCATTTTTATTTGAGATTAATTTTCCTTAAATCACTAAATTACCAAAGACATACATATGTGCATATATATGCATATTATATGATCATTTTTAAATTTTAAATGACTATATTTTAAATGACTGTATAGAGTCATTTAAAATTTAAAGTTGATCACAGCATAGTCATTTTATATCTTATTGGTACACTATAACAGACATGCTAAGTAAAGATTCTATGTTGCGTTCCTATCATATGTTCTCTTAATATATACTTGCCCTACACTTTAATAATTTGTTATTTAGCAATTGTTTCTTGCATTTGGGATTAGTTATATATAAGATTAATTTCTTAGCACCTTACATTATCCCATTTATAAATAATAAACACCTGCCGTCCATGTGATTCAGTCTTTTAGAAATCCATACCGTCAGAACAGAATAAAAATTGTGGTGCTTTGAGGGAAAATTTTGAAACAAAAGTTATTACCTGATCACAGGATTTATTAAGAGTTTATGTTAAGAAGGAAGCAGATGTAGCATCCTGTATGTTAACCCATTGAACTTTTCCAAGAGGAAGATTTTCTTTCATTACTTCTGTACAATTCCCATAGTGGTCACCACCATCTTGCTTCTCAGCCCATGACCTTGCTTCACATTTCTTTTAAGAAGATAGAGGTCTCCCACACACTTCTCTAAGTCACCCCCATTTCTCTCTGATTTGCTTACTCTTTCCTTGTCCCAGATAAAGATGATTCCTTACGTTTCCGTCTTTGCTGAGTTTTCTCCCACCCCAGAATTGCAGCGTTTGTACTGTGCTCTGCAAGTCATCTTAGATCTGATGACTTGTATCTCTCCCCACCATTGCCCAGCATCCTGATGTTCATTCATACTAGTGACCTCTTTCCCACCCACTTAAAGGTGAGGAACTGGACATTCTCTCAGGCTTATTTCAAAGCCACTTAGACCTGTGTCTGTGAAACATTGCTTTGGTATTGAGTTGGTTATGCTCCTGCATCCTACTCTACTGCTTAAAAGTTCTGCAATTCCTGATGGAAAGGATCAGGAACCTCAAGCCTATTCATGTGGACCTGCTGCTGATGTAGTAGTACATGGGATGCTCAGCTGTTTCAGAACCAGAAAAGCACCAGGCTCCCACACCTTTAGTCTCTCCACTCTGTTTCCCCTGCACTATGTCATTAGATCACTCTTTCAAAAGCATGGCTCCAAGTGATACTTTCCCTCTTTGTTTTGCTTATCTCTGTCTGACTGTATTCCATTCTGTGTATTGGGAGTTTGACCCATGTATGCCTAATCAGCAGACTCTTACCCCCCATGGCTTCCTGTGATTCATTCAGAGGGAGGCACTGGCAGATCAGAGAATGAGGAGGCAGTACCCATAGGGGATTTGTTCCCCCAACTCCTTATCTTTGTGTCTTCTCATATTGACTACATATGTTTACCAAGTCACTCTTCTCAGGTAGTTCTCTCCATTCAGCTACTCACTCAGCTTTGAATTCCCATTGTTCCTTCTCCCATTCAAGCAGCCTAAGGTGGTTAGGTTTCCCTGCTACTAACAGCCTAGAAGCATTGCATATCCAGACTTCTTTGAAATCTTGGTTAATAATTGTTGCCTCTTACCTGCAAGGAATGTCAGAGTTCTCCTAAAACACTTTTCAAGCCTTCCACAATCTGACCCCTCCCATCCCAAACATATCCCAAGATGTCACTCAGTGTAACTCCCTAAATTCCAGCTGGACAAACATGGCTCACACCCTTCAACCATCTAAAAATGCCTCACACTGCCCTTTTGTATCCCTTTGCTCCTGCATATTTCAAAGCGTGATTGTCTGGCCAACAAGTGTTACATTTGAGGCTAAAGTTATGTTAGGAACATTTGGAAAATATCCACACTGGTCTGTGTATTGCCACAGTGTACCACTAACATGTGAAAATGATGAGTAGCTAACCAGTTAGTTTCATTCCATTGTCCTGGCAGGAACTACCTGGAATATTACAAGAATTATTAGAGGTGAGTGTGGTGGCACATGCCTGTAATCCTAATAACTTGGGCTGCTGAGACAGGAAAGATTACAAGTTCAAGGCCAGCCTAGGCAATTTAGCAAGAACTTGTCTCAAAATAAATAAAAGGGCTGGGGTATAGCTCAGTGGTAGAGTACCCCCTCGGTTCAATTACCAGTATCATAAGGAAAAAAAAAAAAGGCTTTTGTGGACAACTGGCTTCTCCTAAATCCTTTTTCTTGAAGCATCTCTCATGTCCTGTCCCACTAATAGTCCGGATCCAATCCAAATAGTTACGATTCAATTACTGACTATTTGTTCTTATTAAGCAGTTATCAGCAATCTCAGGCTGCTTATAGGTCAGGTGTATCCATGAATGTACAGTTATTTAACCCAGAAAGAAAACTCATATGGGGAATTTCTGGGGGCTACTTTGTTTAGAAAAGAGGAGAGGGTTACAAGGCACTTTGAGTCTCTTGGATTGTCACACAAATTCATACACTAGTAAAGATAATATTGTTTAAGACTATATTTATGACTGACATCACCATGTCAGTGATCAGTACTCAGAACTCACTCTCACTTGACCCATCAGCAGCACTGAATACAGATTACTGATGGCACCTTAAAACAGGACCTTCTTTGATTTCTAGGGCACCATACCTTCTTGGTATTCTCCCAACATCAGTAAAAAAACTCCCCCTATCTCTACCTGTACTTCCTCTTTTAACTGTTCTCCTTATGTTGTAGTGTCCCAGGGCTCAGTTTATGATTCTTTTCTCTGTGTCCTTCTTTTTATTATTTTTTTAAACATCAGAAATTTATTAGTTGCTCAAAACATTACATTGATCTTGACATATCATATATCATACATTTTTTTCGAATGGGGTATGAATTCTTATTATTCCCATGTGTACAGATTGCAGGATCACGTTGATTATACAGCCACGTTTATACATACTGCCATACTAGTGTCTGTTGTATTCTGCTGCCCTTCCTATCCCCTTCCTATCCCTCCTACCCTCCCTTCCCCTCCCCTCCCCTCCCTCTACCCCATCTACCATGACTCATTTCTCTCTCTCTCTCTCTTATTTTTCTTTCTCCCCTTCGCCTCACATCCTCTTATATGTATTTTTGTATAACAATGCGGGTCTCCTTCCCTCTTCTGTGCAGTTCCCCCTCTCTCTCCCATTCCCTTCCACCTCTCGTCCCTGTTTGATGGTAATCTTCTTCTCCTGCTCTACCTCCCTGCTCTGTTTTGAGTTGCCCTGCTTATATCAAAGAAGACATTCGGCATTTGTTTTTTAGAGATTGGCTGACTTCACTTCGCATAATCTGCTCCAATGCCACCCATTTCCCTGCAAATGCCATGATTTTGTTATTTTTTGGTGTTGAGTAATATTCCATTGTGTATATATGCCACATTTTTTAATCCATTCATCTATTGAAGGGCATCTAGGATGGTTCCACAGTCTAGCTATTGTGAATTGTGCTGCTGTGAACATTGATGACGCTGTATCCCTGTAGTATGCTCTTTTTAGGTCTTTTGGGAATAGTCCGAGAAGGGGAATAGCTGGGTCGAATGGTGGTTCCATTCCCAGCTTTCCGAGGAATCTCCATACTGATTTCCAAATTGGCCACACCAGTTTGCAGTCCCACCAGAAATGTACAAGTGTACCCTTTTCCCCACATCCTTGCCAGCACTTGTTGTTGTTTGACTTCATAATGGCTGCCTTTCTTACTGGGGTGAGATGGTACCTTAGAGTGGTTTTAATTTGCATTTCTCTGATTGCTAGAGATGGTGAGCATTTTTTTCATGTATTGTTGATTGATTGTATATCTTTCTCTGAGAAGTGTCTGTTCAGATCCTTGGCCCATTTGTTGATTGGGTTATTTGTTTTCTCTGTGTCCTTTTTGCTTGGTGATTACATATCATCTCATAGCATTAAATATCATCCATGTGCCCCCCAAAGTTATGTGTCCATCCTGAACTTGTTCTCTGAATTTCAAACCCATATATTCATTTATCTACCTACTCAACCATCTCTAGTAGAAGATCTGGTGGCTATTTCAAATTATAAATCTGGATTTTGTGTCTCTAAAATAGTTTTGTTTTGTTTCGTTGGTATTGGGTATTAGGGATTGAACCCAGGGGTACCTCAGCACTAAGCTAAGTCCCCTGTCCTGTTTTATTGTTTTGTTTTATGATAGGATCTTGCTAAGTTTAAGATAGCCTCTTGTTGGGGCTGGCCTAGAACTTAAAATCCTCTATCCTCAGACTCCTGAGTTACTAGAATTATAGGTTTGCGCCAGCTCACCTAGCTGCCTGAAAGTTTTGGGTTTTTTTTTAACCTATCTCAGTTAGTGACAACTGTATCCTCACATTTATTTAGACAAAGTACCTTGGACTCATTCTTGCCTCTTTCCCTCACACTTTTCTTCTGATCTTTGGGGAAATCCTGTTGATTCTACCTTCAAAAGTATATCGAGAGTCCAACTATTTTTCTCTCCACAACTGCCAGCTTGATCCAAGATGAATTACTGAGATAATTCCTAATTGGTCTCCCTGCTTCCACCCTCACTGTCCTAAATCTTTTCTTCAACATAGCATTCAGATCTCAAATGTAAGTCAGATCATGTGAATTCTCTGCCTTGGTTCTCACTAGGTGAGAACTAGTGACTCAGAGTAAGAGCAACATTGACCTTAGGGCCCTGCACAGCTCCCCTAGTCATTGCTCTGACCTTATCTCCTTCCACATTCCCCCTTACTTACTCTACACCAGTCACTGTGACCTCTTGCTGTTCCTAAGACTGGCCAGGTACATTGTTGCCCCAGGCCCTTGCATTGACTTTTTCAGTGGCATGAAACACTTTCCCCAAGTGTGTCCAAAGTCTGACTTACTGTCAAAAATCAGGTACAGTAACCACCTTCTCAAGCCTACCCTGATGCTCCGCAACAGAGTTCATCTTTCTTCCCTGTTTTATGTTTCTCCATAATCCTTTTTACCTTCTAAGAGGACCTATAATTTTAGATTTTGTTTGCTCCATTAGAATAAAAGTTCCATAAGGGCAGAGATTTTCGTTTTGTTTCCTGATACATCCTTAAGACTAGAACAGTGCCTGGCATATAATAGGCTCTTAATAAATGTTTGTTGGATAAATGGATGAGTTTATTTTGAACAAGCACAATACATTTTTAATGTAAATATTTTGCGCTAGTGTTAATGGTACAAATTGTTCATGTTATGGCATTTGATGTTCCCAAAGTTTCTTACACTTGGAAGAAATGTTAACAAGTCTAATGTATATGCCAAAGAAATAAACAATCTTCAGTTCTTGAATTTTTCAGTTTGAAGAAAACAAGACAGGTGGTCTCCTCCCTCTCTTGCTCTTGTTTTATGAAGAAATACACTACAGTTTCTGGTAGAAATAATACTGATACTGACTTTAAAAAAATAATTGTTGATAATGTTTCATATGCTGTAGTAGGTTTGAAGATGATATTGCAATTTATCAAACGCTTTATAAGAAATGCACACTGTGACATATTTTAACTATTACTGGCAGTATCAAGACTTCAAAATTAATTATGCAAATATTCCAAATGTTAGCAAATTTAAAGTAAAGCAGGAGATGGCATCTTAGATCCAACTGGAAATAAGTATGCATCTTCCTATTTCCATTTTGATTATTAAGAGTTATACAAAATTATTTTATTGAATTTAAAAAGATTTATAGTGTTGGCCATCTCTGCACATATCACATCCAACAAAAATTGAGAAATTCGTTTTCCAAATGAATTATCATGCAGTCTTATTCTGTTTTTTTTTTAATTATACTTGAATATTCATCTAAGATGCTATAATTACTACACAAATCCATAATACAAATAGCAAAAATAGCTATTTTACTTTATATGGGAAAAAGACTTGCCTGGTTCAGAATTTCACTGACTACTGTTTACTGAATAACACTCTCCAAACAAGGTAGAGTGGTCAGAGAGTTTTAAGAATTGTTGCCGACTGCACTAGGGTGGTAAAGGGTCTGAGAGTTCCGTGTCGAGGTAGTGTGTTCATCTTGGTTAACCCTGCATTTTTTTAACCGGTTTGCCTAAAGATGACTCGTTACATTTAATACCAGTGTCCCCTTTGGAATACCCTCTTGGGAACTCTTGTGTGTTCTGTTAAAAGATTAGGAGATGACAATCAAATCAGTGGTGGGATATGAGTGAGTTGGAGGTGGGGTGCGCAGCCACTTTTTAGCTATTTGAGATGGTATATCCTCTTGACCATCCTAACTCTCCAGGTGTGTCACAATTAAAAAGCCCAAATGACATCCCCTTAGATCAGAGATTGCAAACGGAGGTGCTTCCAGTAGCTAGGGAGCCACATAAAAGGGTAGGATTGTGGTATCCCTGAAAGCAAGTAGGACTCCACTTGGAGCAGACCCTACTCAGTTCAGCCCATGTGGTTCTGGAGATAAAACAGGCTCCGTATGGCCAGATTTTCTAATTCTTCAGTGTTGAAAATTAAGATTTTTATGTTTACTCGCCTACATTTTAAATGGTAATTAATTCCAGTTTTTTAAAATACTGGAGTTGAAACAAAATATATTACAGAACCACCCCTGTGTATGACTGCCACCCTAAGAGGAATTGGTGTAGCAGCATAAAAAGGGAGGCCTGTGGGCTGTCCTGGAATGGCCTCTTGCTGTACATGTGAGAGACCCTTGTAGAAATAAAACTTCACTTCCATGTCTTCGAGACTGGAGTATTTCCAACTAGATGTATATGTGTGAGTCTGAAAACCTTATTTAAGGACCAATTTACTCCATTGCCCTCATCAAATAATTTTAATGGTAACAGTACTTGTAAGGTATGATTTCAGTTTGCAAAGTAGCAATATTAAAAATGAAACAATATGCCCTAGCTTTTTAGTTCGCTAGCACAGTTTTAACCAAATACTATGGACTGGTGACTTAAACAACAGAATTTTATTTTCCCATAATTCTGAAGGCTGGGAGTCTGAAATCAAGATGTCAGCAGGGTTGGTTACCTCAGAGAGCTGTGAGGAAAGGGCCTATCCCAGGCCTCTCTCCTTGGCTTGTAGACAAGTGTCTTCTTGCATCTTCCATTAACTTTTCCTCAGTTTTTCTGTGTTCACATTCCCTCCTCCTTAGTCAAATTGAATCCATATTTTAAAATAAGAAGCTGTCTATAAATCCATTGCCTTAAACATTTTATTTTTCATTCTGGCTACATCTTAACATGGGATATAGCATCACGGTAGGAGCATGTGCAAGAGGAAGAGGTCACATATAGAGACGCAAATATGAGATTGGTGAGGAGCCAGACTCGTGCCTTTATAACAGCCCACTCTGGCAGGAACTAATCCACTCCTACCAGACCTGACCTGCTCTCACAAGACAGCAGTAAAGCTTTCATGAGGGTGGCGCTCCATGTTCTAATTACCTTCCACTAGTTCACCTCTCAACAGTGCCACAATGGGGGCCAAGATTCCAGCATATGACCCTGTTTTGGTTTGAATATCGGGTGTCCCCAGAAGCTCCTGTGTTAATGCAGAAATACTCAGAAGTAAAATGACTGTATTATGAGAACTGTAACCTAATAAATCCATCCTAATTTGAATGGACTAACTAGGTGGGGCATGGCTGAAGGAGGCAGGTCACTGGGGGTATACCCTGGAAGGGTTCATCTTCCCTGCAGCCCCTTCCCCTTCTTTCTCTGCTTCCTGGCCTCCATGAGCCAAACAGCTTTCCTCTGCCATTTTCTTCTGCTGGATATTCTGCCTCATGTTAACCTCAAAACAGTGGAGTCAGCCAGCCATGGACTGAACCTCTGAAACTGTGAGTCCAAATTAACTTCACTTCTCTAAGTTGTTCTTGTCAGGTGTTTTGGTCACAATGATGAAAAGGTGACTAACTGAGACCCTTTAGGGGAAAGACCATATCTAAACCATACCAAGGAGAAAACACCAACCAACCATATTAGCATCCTTTCCATGTTTGGTTGAGAAGCCAAGAATTATTAGGTTCAAATATCTCTCTGACTGTATCCAGGGGTCTAGATCTCCCTCAGGTTGGACCAAGATGGTCTGTTTGCCCTGTCTGCTGTGCCAAATTAGCACAAACTCCTTGAGGTCAAGGGGGATATCTTCACTCATTTAGCAGATACATATTGAGAACCTACTCTTCTCACCACTCTGGGCACTAGGAATACAGCAGCAAACAAGACAAATGCGGGCCCTGCCCTTAGAGGGCTTATGTTAGGATAGGAAAGAGAAAATAAACCTGTAAATGAATAAATACATTATTTTTGTTCAAATCATGATAAGGTAATCAGAGTTTGCACATCAAACTCAGACTGTAACTTTGAAAGTGATCTTCGGGTGTACTGCCCCTTTGTGCACAGCTCTGTTTAGCCACGTGTAACATGAGGCATTGAATGTTTCAGCCATAGGACATCTGTGTCATGATGTTTTTCTGGTATGTGACCATTAACTTGAGTGCTGCCATGTCTATTTCTTCTATTCCCAAATGAACTGAATACCTAAAATATGATTTCCTTTTACTTCTGTATACACAATTAGCCAGTAAACAGAAAGGGTAAATTTGTGTTTACATTCTTGTTGTTCATATACATCAGAATATGTGTACAACCAGATCATGACAAACCGTTCTTAATGACATCCCAGCCAGTGCATACAAACAATGTAAACATTCAGAGGTTTCTAATGGATTATAATAAAACTAAAGGGAAAAATTGCGTTTCCTTAAGCATTTGTAAAAGCAGTGATTTACTTTCACCGCCAAAATATTTATATTAAGTTACATACTTCATTTGTTATCAGCATGGAGCTTGGAACATATAAGTGATAAGTAAATTTGTCATTGCTCTCTATTAAACACCCACTCTTTGGTAAATACTAAACTTATAAAGACACAGTGCTGGCCAGATGAGCTCATTGTATCTTTTTTAAATCCAAGAATTTATTTGACTTTGGTATGCATTACAATCTGAATGATCTAGCTCTGGCCTCATTGCTTTATAAAAATATGTACATTCACAAGATTGGGTCTGGGATCCTAATTAGAGTAAGATATGTTCCATATTTATATAAATAAATCAAAATAGATTCTACTGTCTTATATAACTAAAAAGAACAAATAATTTTTTTAAAAAAAATGTGCTTTAAAATGAAAGTCGTGGATTTCAAAGTACATGTAAATATTTGGAAATTAGAATAGGAGGCATGAGACTTGCCTACCATATAGTCAGTTCCAAATACAGATATCTTTAAATACTTAGCCTTTCATTCATTTTATTCCATCAGTCACATAACCAGTGAGCAAAACTTACTAAGAGCCAACCATAAACCAGGCACCATGCTAGGCCTCTGAATGCAGATTCCTCCAATTAGTTTCTGCTCAGTGAGCTGGGTCTAAGAGGAAATGCAGACCTGTAAACCAACAGTTTGGGCAAATGCACCAACAAGTTATAGCTTGAAAGT